TGTTTTCCTGGAAACACTCAAAAATTCTGACTTCCAGTTCCTCTTTAACCGCGCATTATCAATAGCCCACCGGCGACTGTAAACTATGATGTCATCCTCTGCGTAGTCATAACTATAATACTGACTAGTGAATGTTTGCATGTCCGCAAATAGAAGGTCTGTTTGTCTAACTTCGTTTGGGGGGTTCTCAGTGACGAAACATAACATTTGAACTGAGAAAGACTATAGTACAAGCATATGTATAGCGAAATATTCGCAGGTGGTTACTGATTCTCGTCTGTGAACGAAGACTTCTTCGTCAGGGTGGCTAGTGATCCCAACATTGCATTTGCTTAGGGGCAAACTGTACGGGCTTTATTTTTGTGGGAAACCGCAACCACGTGGAATTGCTCTTTTGTGTATTTTATGCACATATACTACTGCAATGACTGAGAAAAAAAACTATATTCATGTGTTCTTTTCAAGTTCTACACCTTATCTCCCTCAAATTTTCTTTAATTTTCCTTGACTATTTCCTTGAATTTTCGCTTAAACCACAAAAGCATTAAAGGCTCGGAGACCTTATGGGCATACTTCAAGAAAAATCGAGTATCAATGCAAAGAATGCAGTGGGCATTCACACGGCAAGTCATGACAGAGTTACAGACATGCTACCCTCAAGTGATAACAAACAGAGAGCTAATTGGAGCAGGGCAGGCAAGCACTGTCTACCCCTCTGCAGGCAAATCGAGGATGCCGCTGTAAGTAAGACCGCAGATAATAAACACCGCCCGACCATGTCTAAAGTTAAACACTAAAGTTCTTCTCAGATCTTCTGTTGACCAGGTGGCAAAATGGCCGCAGTTCACGCCGCAGTTGGAGCAATCGTATCGCTGAAGTTGACGATAGCCTACATTCTGTTGACTTTATTACCAAAAATTCGTAAGTGCCAACTTTTTTTAAGATGTAGTGGCTTACGTCACTAAAGCACACGCCAACGCATACACCTAACGAAATGTTAACTGAAATTCCGAAATGCGTTTTTTTGATTGGAGTAGATCGCTTAAGTGGCCTTTTACGTTAATTATCTTCACGTTAGGATACCGACTTTCGAACGAAGTGCACGTCGGCCGCATGCGTAAAATACATAATGTAGAATGTAGCTTCCTAATTAGAAGGATTTTTACCCATTATTTTGGATGCCTTTATAAGTTTGAATGCATGTTGCAGAAAGCGTACTCAAAAATTCCCTCTTCCACATATCTTAGAGCAAATTTTACTTTTCCGAAGCTATCCTCTTATAAGAGCTTATATGCCGATTTCAAAAAATTCCTAATTATCAGATTTTGCATGATCATGGAATGTTTAATCCTACAGCATCACATGAGCAGATATTTTGATGCCGCCTATAAAGAAAACAACGTCGTCGCTTCTTTTTAATAACATATGGAGCTACATGAATTGTCTTACGACAAAAGCATACGACTTTTAGTTTTTAAATCCTGGATGAAATAGTAAAGACAGGTGGAGTAAAAAATTCTTTAGGAGTTGGGGAGTTTTAAAACCGTAAGATTATCTTTCCTCAAGTAAAAAATTTGAGAAGGCCTAATCTGCTACCTATGTGGTAAGGTAGAAAATATTTTTGTCTATTTTTCCTGCATAGTAGGCTTAAATTTACAAGCTTATCAAAAGCCGGTAATAAAAATTCATGCTTCATATATACTCACTTTTTATGGAGTTCAGTTTACGTAAGAGATCTGTATGAAGCTCAGTCAAAAGCCTGCATCTTGGCTTGACTGGATTATCTTAACTCCAAGCGACGAGATGATTAATATGATGACACTTCGTAAGTAATATTTTTGGATTGAAACACATTTCCAAATTGTAGTCAATATTTCTTGAGATAGCATATATAATTTCATTTAGAGCAAAACGGATGCATTTGGCCATGCAATAAATCACTTCGCAAAGCCTTAATTTGAAAATCAGTATAGCGTTAACTGTGTAATCGAAAAGCCGATTTTCGTTTTTGTATTTAAATAATGTGTGTGGGTGTATGGGCAAGCAAACCTACTATAGTTTTAGAATAAACAAATTAAACCCCACACTTTATTCAGCCAAATATTCCACACAAAATCTAGCCAACATCCTAAAGCACACTAAATAGATAACGGAGGAGAAAGGACAAGTCCCAG